TTGGCCACTCTTCTTCTTCTTCTTCTTCTTCTTCTTCTTCTTCTTCTTCTTCTCTCCTCTTCCTTCTCTTCCATTTTCTTCGTCTACTTTCCTTCCTCCTTCCTCCTTCCTCCTTTCTCACTCTCTTCTCCCTGCTTTCTCTCAATTCTCTCTCCTTTCTCCCTCCTTTTCTCTCCCCTTCTTTCCCTCTCCTCTCTCGTTCCCAATTTTCTTTTCTCTCCTCCCTTCTCCCCCCCCCCCCCCCCCCCCCCCTCCCTCTCCTCCCCCCCCCCCCCCCCCCCCCCCCCCCCCCCCCCCCCCCCTTTTTCTTTTCCCCCCCCTCTCCCCCCCCCCCCCCCCCCCTTTCTCGTTCATTTTACCTTGCAGTCGTTGGTCGGCCTTCCTTCAGCATCTGCAACACTCTAGTCTTCGCCGTGGATATGGTGGCTTCATCCATATCTTCCGTCTCTGCATCCGATGATGACGTGTGACTTCCACGATCACCAGCAGCTTGAGCATGGTGAGCTCTAAGCCTCCCATCCTCCTGCCCGCCTGTTCGCCATAGGTCTTTCTTGTCCTGCAGCTTCAGACCACCCACCACACCATCGCTCTTCTCCTTCTGCTCCTGGGGACGACCATCTCCTCCTCCTCCTCCTCCTCCTCCTCCTCCTCCTCCTCCTCCTCCTCCTTCCCTGTCCCTCGGCCGCCATAGCTCTTTCTTGTCCATTGCCCTCTTATATGCTGCTCGCATGCGCTCTACTTCAGCAATCAACCGTTCAGAATCGTCGCCGACCTTCTCAGCTACCTCCACTATCCGCGCCATGCCCAAGGGAAGAGGACTCTCCCAATCATCCAGGCAATCAAGGAGGATCTTACCCTCACGCAGGCAGTCGGCCACGTAGGCAAAACACTCCAGCACTCCCTCTCTAGCGACGTCCAGGATGACATCTGGAGGAGGGCGCGGATCTTGGCCCTCTAGATACCGCAACGTGGCAGACACGTCATCCGTAAACCAACTGGCCACGTCATCATGCTCCAAATCGTCCGTACTCGTTGATTGCCACGTGGCGATCGATTGAGTAGTAGTAATCGGAGAAGAAGATGGACCGTGTTTGATCATTGATAGGGCGTCCCTAGCCGCAGAACCGGGTCCATCTTCTCTTGCCACGTGGCAATCAATCTGTCTTATCGGATTACTACTGCTGGATCCATCGCCACGTGTCCCATCAGCTCCTTCTTGAACAGTAGTTGATGGGACACGACCTCCTCCACTTCCAGACGCAGTCGGATGAGCCAACACTGATCTTTCCCCACCCTCCCTTCTGCTCCTCTCCTCCCCATTCCCTCCTCCTGCTCCACCTCCTCCTCCTTCTCCTCCCCCAAGACGCGGCCTTTTAGCAGAAGGCGCTTCCAAACGGCCATCGCGATCGAGCTCTACTTTCTCTCTTCCTCCTCCTCCTCCTCCTCTTCCGCCTACCCTTCTTATTCCCCCTCCTCCCCCTCCTCCTCCTCCTTCTCCTCCTCCGCCTACCCCACTTCTTCCTCCTCCTCCTCCTCCTCCTCCTCCTCCTCCTCCTCCTCTTCCTTGTTCTCTACTTGAAGTAACTTGCTCATCATCGTAGCGAGAATCTCTCCCCTCCCCTCTCCCTCTCCCTCTCCCCAATCCACCACTACCACCACCTCTCCCACTCTCTCCAGACCGACGATTACCTCCCATTCCACCCCCACCACCACCACCACCACCGGCAGTTTCTTCCCCATAGCCATCTCCATCGCCATCGCTGTCTTCTTCTCTTCTTCTCCCATCTGTTTTCCTCCATGGCTTGCCTGAGAACATCAAGTACGACGTGATGTCAGTCAATTGCCGAGAGCGATAGCAATCCGAGATCCACTGCTTTTTCACGATGGTACCGTTCTGCCGCTTCACCTCATAGAACTTTGGAGTGTTGGCAAACGCGCACACCAGTAACGTGCAGTCATCTGTCCAGTCGGGCCGATACTGAGCACCCATATCCATTGCTCTTTGTCGTATCTCAGTTCGTTCGGGATTGACGATTCCAGAAATAGCAATGACCACGCCTTTCAACAGTTCAGAGAAGGGCACAGGACCTGCTGGTGCACCTCCTCCTCTTCCCCTTCCTCCTACTCCTCCCCCTCCTACTCCTCCCCTCCTTGCCTCGGTACTCTCCTCAACCCCGCCACGTGGATCCGTCCTTCCGTGACCTCTGCTGCTGGCATAACTGGCCCCCTCTCTTTCTGCTCCAAGACCTCCGACTGCGCCTCCTCTTCCTCCTCCTCTTCCTCCTCCTCCTC